ATGAAAACGATTAATAAATGAACCTATTATGTTGAGAAATAGTATTTCTCACTCCTTATCATGACTTCATCAACCAATTTTACTTTTTTCTTTAATGCATACAGTAACACTAAGAAGACAATAACATTAAATATGTAGGATTATGCTAATTTCTCCTATGATATGTGCAGTAAGTGACAGTTACATTTAAAACAGTCGAATTATGTTATTTTCTAATATGACATTTACAACTATAAGGTGACAGTTACATTTAAAACAGTCAAATTATGTTACTTTCTCATATGACATTTACAGTAACATTAATGTGACACCTTTCTCATATGTTATACACAGTACATGTAACTATAAGGTGACACTAAAATTTTAAAAAGTTAAATTATGTTACTTTTCTCCTATAATAAATACAGTATCAGTAAGGTAATACTAACATTTAAACCATTTGGATAACGTCACTTTTCTTCCATGATATATACAGTAACTATAAGATGACACTAATATTTAAAGCAGTTGGGTTATGTTACTTTCTCCTTTCATATATAATAACAATATGTGACACTTACATTTAAAGCATGTGGATTAGGTCATTTTTATCCTTTGATATATACAATAAGATGGCATACTAACATTTAAAGCAGTTGGATTATGACACTTTTCTCCTACAATATAGTCTCCCACGTGGCGCAGTGGTTAGAGCGTCTGCTATAGAGTCGCGAAGTTAGGAGCCAATCCTTACGTCGCGGGTTCGAATCCCACTGTAAAACATGGAGACCGGTCCTTCGGATGAGACCGTATAACCCGAGGCTCCGTTTCGCAGTAGGTGCTGGCACGAAAAGATCCCTAACTGCTCAAAGGTCCTGAGTGCCGAGCATAGGACAAAAATTTGTAGCCCTCCACCGGCAAGTGGTGGTGTCTCCATATGAGTGAAAAATTCTCGAAAGGGACGTTAAACAACATACAATCAATCAATCTTACAACATATATACAGTAACTAAATAAGGTGATACTAATATTTAAAGCAGTTGGATTATGACACTTTTCTCCTATTATACATACAGTAACTATATTAGGTGATACTAACATTTAAAGCAGTTAGACATCCCATTACTCTCGTTCACTACTGCGTCTAAGACTAACATGATGTTTCCTTTACTACACTCAGAGAAATGATACTTGTTAGGGCAGTTACCATTGGTCGCGCTTGGATACATGATTAAGTTACCCGGATCTCCTCCAGGTACGCAAATATATCCACTATCATGCCGAAAAGAAATAACATAAGTTTACTTTTCTCTAACTAACGAAATTAAAAATATAACATATGAATTATCTATTCAAAGATAAATAAACATGTATCATGCTGTGAAGATGTTAATCATAATTAATAAAATATATTTTAAACAAATATTAATTAATTTGACAAGGTAAAACAAATGTTTGAATGAATAGTGAATAAAGACCTAAACTTGATATAATTCTCACGTATTGATTAAAAGACAAATATTTATGTTTCAAAGCCTTATATGTTCATAAAGCCTTTTCTATCGTACATAATTATATTTGTATCAAATATACAAATGTCTATGGTTAGGAATATGTAAATGTATCAGACAGCCAAAATTGTGTCCCAGATAGTGGGCGAACTAGAGGTGTGAGACCAGCAGTTGAACACGGCGGACGTATTTATAATGGCATACTTACAAGACATCCAAAGTTGTGTCTCACTTCGTAAGGGAACGTCTAGTGTGACATGATTCTATTGTGCAAATATTTCCTTCCTCTGTTCTAAAATCATGGTGAATACATTAATCTATTAACGAGGATACTTCCGGTTTTTTACATCCTGTATATTTCTTGGTCTCTAGGTCATTATCAAAAATACGCACATTTTTGCGTCTGTGTTAATTTGAACGAAAAAAAAAACATGTTTGAGGTGAAATTTAACAGTATCATAAGGCTTTAAAAAACGAAAACCTTTTATTTTTTAATACATTCATTTATAATTTTATTGCTTTAAGTAATATAAAATATTATTTTATAACGAGATATGAGTGACTTCATGCTGTCAATGTATTCTGTCAATTGTCTTTAGCCTACAACAACTTAAAAATAATATTTTCTAATTCATTTATCTAACATTTGGAAAATATAATAGAATGTGTCTTTCTAAAATTGTTTCAGCAATTTTTCTTCCCACTCATTTTTATTCCTTTGACTTTAATGTACGAATTAGAAGGGGGTAGATTTTTATTTTGGGGAAAGCGAGATAACTCTATTAATATTTTTCGATTCCTTGACCAGAAGAGATGAGTTCCCAAGTTATTAAATCTGTCATTGCCAATGTGTGTCATCTTCTTTTTTCTTCAAGTGATATTATATTATTTACAGTATATAATGCTCTGCTCCTACTTTGTATTGTTTTGTGGACTTTGATATTGAATACGTTCGTTATATCCTCATTCTTCCTTACATCCTTCCTTAGAGTTTATTACATCTTGTATCTATTGAACGAGATTTATGTTTATGTTAGGAACATCTTGTGACTCGATATGAGAATAATAAATGTATGAATTAGTGTTATAGGCTACACATTGAGCAGGTAAACAGTAGCTTACATGTGGGTACACAAGTGTTGTCGTGTTTTATTGATGCATCTGTATTTTTACATGTATATATTGTCTTAGGGCGAATATTTCTTTAGTTATAATGATATAAAGAATATGGTTAAATTGACAGTATTCAGTGATTTGAAGATAAGAACATGTTGATATTTATTTTGATTACTGAGTAATTTTGACCTAATTTGTGCATCCCAGCATGCCTCAAGCGTAATGGCTGCACCGTTGTGTACACGTGAGTTCGGGTCAAGTTAGGTTATTTTACTATGTAATTAAATTTTTGTCGAGCAAGATTAAACCTATTAGTTAAAAAGAATAACTACAGTATTGATAATCTATGTTTATTCAATTTATCACAATTTCGACGTAAGGAAAACCATATCTAAGTCATCAATATTGATTGCATTGTGTCACAATAAGTCAATAAAACCATATCTAAGTCACCAATCTTGATTCCATTGTGTCATAATAAGTCAATAAAACCATATCTAAGTCATCAATCTTGATTGTATTGTGTCACAATCAGTCAATAAAACCATATCTAAGTCATCAATCTTGATTACATTGTGTCACAATCAGTCAATATGTCTTATCCGGTTAAAGTATTACCTGAAGAACTGAAGGGAAAAGATGATACACATATGTCAATGGCAGAATTCTAAAACTTCGTCGGAAATATACTTTTTTTGTAATCATGCCAACTTTATGGTAAGCAAGACGTTCTCAGGCTATGAATAAATTTTTATAATACACCAGGCAATATTAACAATTTGATCAGTAACATAAGCTGTAATACACCAGGCAATATTAACATTTATATCAGTGTAATACACCAGGCAATATTAACATTTATATCAAAATGGCACAAAATTATTTCCTTGTTTTAATTATCAGTTGACAAGAACTAATAGACTTTAGATATGACATGACTAGAATTCAGCACATTAGAGCCATTCCTTTGCACGCGGGTAACAGTTTGTAAATATTTACGCTTTTTAAAAAAAAAATCCTTGGGAGGAGGGGGGTGGGGGCATTAAATATTTATAAGATGATTTATAATTAAGTATATTTTTGAAAGATATAAAAAAAATAAATGCAAACATTTTTATTTTTATACCTCCAGCATTAAAATTGTGACTTTTTTTAATCCTTTCCTCAATTTTGTCTACAATACTTTATAATTTAAAAGCCTTGAAACATGAATCTACTTCTAGCTACAGAAACCGTAGCGTTATGTTTTATATTTTATTATTGATGAAAACGCAACCGATCTCGTAAAGTAAGTATTGACCAGTTAACGACGTTTTTTGCCAAATTTGGATGTATATTTTCTTTATTTCAACATTGAATTATCAATTACCTTTCATTCCCAAATGTAAGATATATTCTTTTTTCAACCTGTATTTAGTTTCCGCCTCCAACCCCTTTATAGGCTTCACTTGTGACCCCCTCCCCCGAAAAAAATGTTTTTATCAATAAAAAAACGATTTAATAAAGTTTAATGGACGATTATAAAGGGTCAGAGGGTAGATATAACATACAGGTTGTTAAAGAGTATTTCTCAAATTAGGAAAGGACAGGTGGTTTACAAAATAATGCAGGGAAGTAGAAAAATTTTTTATCCTGCAACTACCCTTTGCACTGACCTAATAAAGCTAACCTAATAAACCATTTCTGAAGCTTTAAAATATTCACTGCCCTAATAAAGCATCGCGCATGTATTCCTTTAACGTTAATGTCATCAAAAGCATTGTTACGTCACGTATATTGCAATGTTTACGGCATGGTGTCGTAGTTTCAATTACAGAGATGTGCCAAAATCAGTCGGAAAAAGCTTGTTTTGGACGTTCAAATGTATAATTTTGTTGCAGAATAAACACAATAAATGATAACTGTCTTGAAATATAAGCGATATTTGGGATTAGGAGTGTATTAAAACGCAAGCCTCGCCCTCTATCACGTTTTCTTACCCTCGCCCAAATATTGCTTATATTTCAAGACAATAACCATGCATTTTTTATATCCCTATCCATGCGCAAAATTTAGCGCCGTAAAATGAACAACATTTGCTTCAAGGGATCTGTAGCATTTTTGTCTAAAAGACTCAAATATATTTCAGTGTGACGTTAAGGTTTCTAAAGGTGGCTTATAAAATTTCAAACTGCTCAAGAAGACCGGGAAATTTGATTTTCGCTTATGACGTTACTCTGTGAAGGCCTTCAACTTTAATGTCATAAAAAGTCATCATATAATACTTTGTTTTCCCATTCATTGGTTTGGCATTACATGCAGCCATTTCCACACACTGTATATATAAAATACACATACAAGTAACGAGAAATATTGGTGTTTGAAAATGAAATTTACGTCATTATCATCTCTACATCATTCATAAACTGTAACAGAATGAAATTCTAATTATCAACACACATGTACGGAGATGACAGACTGATGGAATAATACTTCTACCCAGTTATGTATACCTTTCACGGTGGATCAGTTGAAATTCAAGGAATATATTAAAAAAAAACATTGTGTTTGTTGTTAACATACTTTATATCATTAGGCTATTAATTATAAAACTACAATTGATAAAATAAAAACAAAACTTTTATTATGTAACAATAGTAAATGCGATTTTCTTGTTTTTAGTAATGAATGTTACATGTACAACACTATCTTAAACATAATACACATAAGGACTTTTCAATAAATTCATTACACATAATAACATTATATATCTATTACATTGTATATACTGTAGAAACCACTATTATGTCTAAAAAAAGTTTTCATCATCTATAATAAAAGTATATAACTTTTCATATCATGCGTGAACAAGGAAGGCGAGGTAACAGTCATTAAACCACCAGCCTTACTGTCAGCAGCACAGTTACCTGTACTATACCTGTCGTTATCTCTGTCCGGGGTGGAGAAGGACATCCCAGACAGATCGTAGTAAGAATTACCAGTGTCTAACATAGAGTCTTCTGTAAAATTATCAAAGAAATATATAACCTGAACACCTATTTCAGATTAGATCATTATTATTTACTAAACATTTAAAGCTTAAAGCATCTATAGTATTCAACAATAATTTTTTTGAATTACTTTAAATTTCATTCCTTTCAATTACAATAGATGAACACTGTTTTATTTAATAGTTAACGTGGTTTTTCTGTTGTCATTTGATTTCTTTTTTGACTGTATACGAACATGTTAATGAGTCTCAACAGAAATAAGAGATTGATTGATTGATTGTAGTTTAGCGTCCCTCTCGAGCATTTTTCACTCATATGGTGACGCCATCACTTGCCCGTTGAGAACAAAAAATTTTGTTTTATAATACATGTTATACACGGCAATTGAGCAGTTCGCTATGTTTTTTGTGCCAGCATCTACTACGACACTGGACCTTGATTTATACGGTCTCATCCGAAGGACCAGTCTTCACGCCCTACAGTGGGATAGGAACCCGTGACGTAAAGATTCCTTATTCTCGGCTCTAACCACCGCACCACGCAGGTGACGTCAATAAATTTAATTATTATTTCATTCAAGTGAAGCCTTATTTTAACATTGAAATGGGGGAGCCAATATACATACATATAAAGCAGGGATATTCAAACAATAAATTCATGAACCAATAAATTGATATAATATTAGAAAAAAACGGTTTGTTTTTTTCTCTTTTGTTGGGGGGGGGTGCACTTCTTTAAGTTAACAGTGAATGAAACAAAAGCTTTTCCTCCTTTTTATCAACACATAAATCATTATAATGCTTCAAATTTGTGCGACTACACGTAGATGCAATTTGTGTTATTATTTTCTTTCTTCATTGTTGTATTGCTTTTGTTAAATCTTCTATTTATATCTTCAGCACAAAAGCGGGATAATTACAAAAAGTCATCGTTATCCACTGTATTTAATTACATTTCCAATGCAAGTATTTTTTTTTATTTCATAATCGTTTAACACCTTAATTGCTTTTTCTGTATGAGTTATGTATCTGACAACATTACGCACAAGTACGCATGTAGTGTTTATGACATGTAAATGTTCAATCTTTTAGCAATTTATTACTGATTTGCTCATATAGTATGGACTCTTGATTTTCAATATACAAGGAAAGTTTACTTTTACTTTAGAAATATTGATACCCCTTCCCCCTCCATTAATTACGTAACAATCGGGCTGATTCTCAAAAAAAAGTTGGCATTTGTCTATCTATCACAAGAAATTAAACACTCTCTCTCTATATATATATCTTTCCTTATCGGTCGCCATTCGTACATTCTGTTACCGTTTACCTACCCAGGGTCCCGGTAGCTGGTCCTCCAAGAAAAAGTCTGTATTTCTTGATTTCGTCAGCAACAGAGAACTGGTTATATAATTCATAGAGCTTTTTCCCATTGGTCAGTGTGATGGAGACGTAGAGGGAGGAGTTCCTTCCCTTGGTAAGTTGATGTATTACGTCATTCCCTTAAATATGATATTTTCCAGCTATATATCAGCATTTATAAAGCAAAATATTATCAGGATTGTTGTCATAGGAAGCAACACACAGTTGTATATGTATGCAGAAATTTGCTTAAGCAATAAATATACATGTTTCAAAATTAAAGTACAGAAAGTCATTTTTGTGTATACAACATTAATTGTTAATTAAGAAATAAGGTATCATTTTTTGAGTTTTATTGAGATGTAAAACGGGTCGGTCACGTGATCAAATCCCATAAAGCCCTTCGGGCTTTATGGAAGATTTGATCATGTGTCAACCCGTTTTACATCTCAATAAAACTCAAAAAATGATACCTCATTACTTATATTTACATTTGTGACTTATTCATACTTTATATTTGCCTGATTGTTACTTTTAACGTGTGAAATGCGTTAATTTTTCAAACCCAACGGCATGTATGTAATCCACTAAACGCGCGTCGACCCTTTATGACGTCACAGAGAAATTACGTGGCACGTTTATCCAAACGCACATCTATAACCTCTTGACCCAAAACCTGTATTTACACAGTTATAAAAACGCTTGCCTTCAGTAGTGTTATGTAAAGGAAAACATTTGCAAATGTAAATATATCTTTATCTAAACTGATATAAATAAAATACTTATTAAAAGAGTTCAAAATAAGAAGGACTATCATCCCTTAAAACAATATAACCTTTTGTACAGTTATGGAATGGGTACAGTGTAAATAGGAAATTCATGGTTTCCCGAGGGAGGAAAATATTGCTGTATCTGGAACCGTAACCCTTTGGGAGCCATAAATTTGCTATGGCCTCTGTAGTCATTCCAGAACTGTATATAGTTTACCAATCCAGTAGGATCCGTTAGGATTCCCGAATCCCGTCTTGTAGTCCGTCCATGTTCTGTCGAATGACACTGAACCACTGACACGTTTCTGTATAGCCTAAGGATTTATGATTTATGTGGAGTTAATTTATAAAACTTGTGAGGTTTTTGTCCGCTACGTTGTACTGTAAACAATGTTTCAAATATTTTTTTCATTAACCCAATCATTCAAAACCGATTTCATTTTTTTAAAAAGTTTTTCTGTACGCAATTTCTAAGTAATGATATTTCTAAACAAAAAAGCTTCATATAAAAATCTGTTTAAATTATATTAATTCGAACAACTATTTTAACTCTTTGAAAAAAATATATAATTTTAAATTTATTATATTATAAAAATGTTATTCTACTTTGTAAATAATAATATTTACTGTCATATTTTTATTATCTTCATTTAAATTAGATTAGAAAAGAATTATTCAAAGTTCAATCAACGGCATTTTTCGTTGATTTCAGCAAAGAGATTTATCAGTTTCAAAATCAAAAATTTATAAATTATTAAAGAAATATAAGCTAAAATTCATCGTTGGGCAAAAGAATGAAAGAAAAAAAGGGGGTTGGGGAGAGAGAATGAAAAAGAGGGGAAAGAGAGAGACAGAGAGAGGGGAGAGAGAGAAAAATAAAGAAAAAAGAGAAAGAGAGAACTTGACAGAGAGAAAAAGGGAGAACGAAAGGAGTGAGAGAGAGGAAGAAAGAGAGAGAGAAATCATAGTGTTCACTCTCAACGTAGGAGAAAAAAAGCTACAATTGATCGCTGACAAAAGAAAAAGAGAGAGAGATACCTTACTGTCCAACCTTACACCTTCTGTCATCATGTCACAGAGAAAGGTCAGAGTAACTGATGAAGAGATAGAGTAATGACGAGAGAAATAAAGAGAGGCAGAGAGAGAGAGAGAGAGAGAGAGATCTTACTGTCCACCCTCCACCTTCTGTCACCATGTCACAGAAGACGCTGACCCTGCTGTTATTACCAAATGGATATATCTCATAAACACCAGATTCTGTATTACCATTCAAGTAGAGGTCCTTGAGGTTCTTACAATCTTTATGTATGTTTAACTCTAAAAAAAAATAAATACATGATATGATAATAATATAATAATAATAATATAAAATATACTCTAAGAGAGGGAGAGAGAGAGAGTTACCTGACTTGATGGTTTGCAGTATACTGCCTTTCAAATCTTCGTGGATGTTGGTCACATTTTTCATAAGGATGTTAAACATCTCGTAAAATTCTTCTTTATTGTTCTTTGATTAACCTTAATTCTCGCATTCTCTCGTTTTAAGGACTCGATTTGTCTCGCGTTTTCTCGTTTTAAAGACTCCATTTGTCTCGCGTTCTCCTTTTTTAATGACTCAATCTGTCTGGCGTTTTCTCGTTTTAAGGAATCTGCCTGTCTCACGTTCTCCTGTCGTAAGTACTCAATCTTTTCGTTCAATATTTCAATCGTCTGATCATTACGGTCGCAGTCATTTTTGTCATCGGAATAAATTTGCTGAGAACTAGCCGTACAAAAGAACAAGACGTACACGAAGATAGCCGCCCAAACTCCTGCCATGGTTTTACTGCGCGCTGTCTGAAAATAAGCATATATACATTGTTTATTGTGTAAATGGTGGTATATACCTTGTTTATTGTGTAAATGGTGGTATATACCTTGTTTATTGTGTAAATGGTGGTATATATCTTGTTTATTGTGTAAATGGTGGTATATATCTTGTTTATTGTGTAAATGGTGGTATATACCTTGTTTATTGTGTAAATGGTGGTATATACATTGTTTATTGTGTAAATGGCGGTATATACCTTGTTTATTGTGTAAATGGTAGGTTATACCTTGTTTATTGTGTAAATGGTGGTATATAACTTGTTTATTGTGTAAATGGTGGTATATACCTTGTTTATTATGTAAATGGTGGTATATACATTGTTTATTGTGTAAATGGTGGTATATACCTTGTTTATTGTGTAAATGGTGGTATATACCTTGTTTATTGTGTAAATGGTGGTATATACCTTGTTTATTGTGTAAATGGTGGTATATATCTTGTTTATTGTGTAAATGGTGTTATATATCTTGTTTATTGTGTAAATGGTGGTATATACCTTGTTTATTGTGTAAATGGCGGTATATATCTTGTGTATTATGTAAATGGTGGTATATATCTTGTTTATTGTGTAAATGGTGGTATATACCTTGTTTATTGTGTAAATGGTGATATATATCTTGTTTATTGTGTAAATGGTGATATATATCTTGTTTATTGTGTAAATGGTGGTATATATCTAGTTTATTGTGTAAATGGTGGTATATACCTTGTTTATTGTGTAAATGGTGATATATATCTTGTTTATTGTGTAAATGGTGGTATATACCTTGTTTATTGTGTAAATGGTGGTATATACCTTGTTTATTGTGTAAATGGTGGTATATATCTTGTTTATTGTGTAAATGGTGATATATATCTTGTTTATTGTGTAAATGGTGATATATACCTTGTTTATTGTGTAAATGGTGGTATATACCTTGTTTATTGTGTAAATGGTGATATATACCTTGTTTATTGTGTAAATGGTGATATATATCTTGTTTATTGTGTAAATGGTGATATATACATTGTTTATTGTGTAAATGGTGGTATATATCTAGTTTATTGTTAAATGGTGATATATACTTTGTTTATTGTGTAAATGGTGGTATATACCTTGTTTATTGTGTAAATGGTGGTATATACCTTGTTTATTGTGTAAATGGTGGTATATACCTTGTTTATTGTGTAAATGGTGATATATACCTTGTTTACTCTGTAAATGGTGATATATACCTTGTTTATTGTGTAAATGGTGGTATATATCTTGTTTATTATGTAAATGGTGGTATATACCTTGTTTATTGTGTTAATGGTGGTATATACCTTGTTTATTGTGTAAATGGTGGTATATACCTTGTTTATTGTGTAAATGGTGGTATATATCTTGTTTATTGTGTAAATGGTGATATATATCTTGTTTATTGTGTAAATGGTGATATATATCTTGTTTATTGTGTAAATGGTGATATATACATTGTTTATTGTGTAAATGGTGGTATATATCTTGTTTATTGTGTAAATGGTGGTATATACCTTGTTTATTGTGTGAATGGTGATATATATCTTGTTTATTGTGTAAATGGTGATATATACCTTGTTTATTGTGTAAATGGTGTTATATATCTTGTTTATTGTGTAAATGGTGTTATATATCTTGTTTATTGTGTAAATGGTGATATATACCTTGTTTATTGTGTGAATGGTGATATATATCTTGTTTATTGTGTAAATGGTGATATATACCTTGTTTATTGTGTAAATGGTGTTATATATCTTGTTTATTGTGTAAATGGTGTTATATATCTTGTTTATTGTGTAAATGGTGATATATACCTTGTTTATTGTGTAAATGGTGATATATACCTTGTTTATTGTGTAAATGGTGATATATACCTTGTTTATTGTGTAAATGGTGATATATATCTTGTTTATTGTGTAAATGGTGGTATATATCTTGTTTATTGTGTAAATGGTGGTATATACATTGTTTATTGTGTAAATGGTGGTATATATCTTGTTTATTGTGTAAATGGTGGTATATACCTTGTTTATTGTGTAAATGGTGGTATATACATTGTTTATTGTGTAAATGGTGATATATACCTTGTTTATTGTGTAAATGGTGATATATACCTTGTTTATTGTGTAAATGGTGATATATATCTTGTTTATTGTGTAAATGGTGATATATACCTTGTTTATTGTGTAAATGGTGGTATATATCTTGTTTATTGTGTAAATGGTGGTATATACCTTGTTTATTGTGTAAATGGTGATATATATCTTGTTTATTGTGTAAATGGTGATATATACCTTGTTTATTGTGTAAATGGTTGTGTATATCTTGTTTATTGTGTAAATGGTGGTATATACCTTGTTTATTGTGTAAATGGTGGTATATACATTGTTTATTGTGTAAATGGTGGTATATATCTTGTTTATTGTGTAAATGGTGGTATATACCTTGTGTATTGTGTAAATGGTGGTATATACATTGTTTATTGTGTAAATGGTGGTATATACCTTGTTTATTGTGTAAATGGTGATATATATCTTGTTTATTGTGTAAATGGTGGTATATACCTTGTTTATTGTGTAAATGGTGATATATATCTTGTTTATTGTGTAAATGGTGGTATATACCTTGTTTATTGTGTAAATGGTGATATATACCTTGTTTATTGTGTAAATGGTGGTATATACCTTGTTTATTGTGTAAATGGTGATATATATCTTGTTTATTGTGTAAATGGTGGTATATATCTTGTTTATTGTGTAAATGGTGGTATATACCTTGTTTATTGTGTAAATGGTGGTATATATCTTGTTTATTGTGTAAATCGTGATATATATCTTGTTTATTGTGTAAATGGTGGTATATACCTTGTTTATTGTGTAAATGGTGGTATATACCTTGTTTATTGTGTAAATGGTGGTATATACCTTGTTTATTGTGTAAATGGTGTTATATATCTTGTTTATTGTGTAAATGGTGGTATGTACCTTGTTTATTGTGTAAATGGTGGTATGTACCTTGTTTATTGTGTAAATGGCGGCATATACCTTGTTTATTGTGTAAATGGCGGTGGCAGGTGCGATCCATTCTCTAGCATGAATCCCAGCCTCGATCCAAATCACTGGCTTAGCCCGTCCTTCATCGTTTTTGCCAAGCTGAAATTTGAATGCTCGTTAATCAGGATTAAAATCATGGTATTGACAATCTATTATTATATAGCATTAAAATATCACGTGGAATTTTGAAATTAAAATGAAAGCAATTTTTTGTCTACTCGAAATGTACTTAAAAAGTGGAATTTTATCAAGGATTTATTTTGGTAAAATTATATGCACTGGTTCTGTGATCAATGAAGTTAATATTGCTTAAAAATTATTCTTCTTCAATTATTCTATTATTTCTAGATTTAACAAACTGCTAACATTATGTTTTGGGGTAAGTAGCTCATTCTATATCTCATTTAATTGTCCACTTAAACGTTACCCAACCAGGCGATTTATTCGAATGTTTTAAAAAAAAATTTGATTTACGAGACGTAATAAATACCTTAATAATCTTCATGTCTCTACCCTCGTGGGACGATCCCAGGGACTCCACTTTAGCGAGTGTAGGGTATTGTAACGCCATGCTAGTGAGCCAGCTGTCGATCTAAGCAAAAAAAAAATTAAATTCATTTATCCTCTTAAAAAAACATAAGAATTCATGAGAAATACCTTTATGATCTTCATGTCTCGACCCTCATGGGACGATCCCAGGGACTCCACTTTAGCGAGTGTAGGGTATTGTAACGTCATGCTGGTAAGCCAGCTGTCAATCTAATTAGAGAGTGTAGGGTATTGTAACGTCATGCTGGTAAGCCAACTGTCAATCTAATTAGAGAGTGTAGGGTATTGTAACCTCATGCTGGTAAGCCAGCTGTCAGTCTAATTAGAGGGTGTAGGGTATTGTAATATCATGCTGGTAAGCCAGCTGTCAATCTAATTAGAGAATGTAGGGTATTGTAACCTCATGCTGGTAAGCCAGCTGTCAATCTAATTAGAGAGTGTAGGGTATTGTAACCTCATGCTGGTAAGCCAGCTGTCAATCTAATTAGAGGGTGTAGGGTATTGTAATGTCATGCTGGTAGGCCAACTGTCAATCTAATTAGAGAGTGTAGGGTATTGTAACGTCATGCTGGTAAGCCAACTGTCAATCTAATTAGAGAGTGTAGGCTATTGTAACGCCATGCTGGTAAGCCAGTTTTCGATCTAAACAAGCATGTTAATTCAAGAAAAGTAAACACAAAAAGAAGAAACCCTCTCTGTAAATTCAGGTTTCTCATTCTTCTTACTTTATATATAAAAATAAAATAAATACAATGGTGAAAAATGTTCATTAAATTAATATACATGTAACATCTGTTATATATCCAGTTCTTCCTCTATTAGTTAATATGCCATACACGAATAACAAATGAATATTATGCATATTTATGTGTTTCTAACATGCGTGTCGTTCAAAGTAACCAAAAGATACAATGTACATTAAAAGTCTGAAAGAGATAAAAGCAAATTTATGGATACAAAAATATTGACATAAATAAGGCATTGTGTCTTTTGTTAGGTTATAAAGTTGTCTACCTCGGAATGTCTTGCAAATTTCCCCACGATATCCTGGTTTTTGGAATGACTTAATGATGTCATAATGGCGCCTGTTGAGTCAATGACGTAATCAGGATTCTGCATGGATGCTTGTTCCTGGTCAATTACACTAAAGAATAATTAAAATTATTTATGGCTTTAAAACATATGAAATATCTAAGATTTTACGATTTTTGACACAATGAATGCATCCAAGCTTTTTTCTTCATTGAACAATTCAAATGTTTTAGACAAAACTCATCCAAACGTAGAAAAAATCGCGAGACAAAATTTTGACTTTGTTTTGGAAGAGAAATTATACAAAATGATTGCCCTGACGAGGCATCAAAAATTGTGTAATCCATACCTTTGTAAATCATGGACTAAAATGATTGGCTGTAGGCCAACACGTGACAGCTTCTTTGTGACGTAATTGTACATTTTAATTGGCACGTGAATTTCTACATCAGTGTTTAAATGCGGTCTCTTCCAAAAGTCCATCTGAAATAATGAAGTTTTGGTTATTTAGAAACTTTGAAGTAAAATAAAAATCAAACAAATCATTTACTTAGGGTGGAGGTATTCTACTTCATCTTTAAAAATCCATATGAAATGTTTCTAATTTTAAGGTGGTAAATAAAGAAAAAGATTGTTATAAAAGGAAAGGGTATTTGCCAGTTTGAAGACGGGGGCTCAACCCGGACATAAATATTAGGAAAAGAAAATTGTCAGAATGGTCAAGAAATTGTATGCACTAGGATGAATATTGACACTGAAAGATAATCATAATCTGAATATAAAGAGGAAAATCAGGATCATACCTTGAGAATCGGATTGTCCTGAAGTCTTTCTAGGGCTCGCACCTGGTCATTAGTTGTAGGGTGAACACGGATCAACTTATCTCTGAAATTCATACAATATGACATAACAACTCACTACTTTATAATATCACCTGGTCATTCGTGGTGGGGTGAACACGAATTAACTTATCTCTGAAATTCATACAATATGACATAGCAACTCACTACTTTATAATATCACCTGGTCATTAGTTGTGGGGTGAACACGAATCAACTTATCTCTGAAATTCATACAATATGACATAACATCTCACTACGTTATAATTGCACGTGGTCATTAGTTGTGGGATGAACACGGATCAACTCATCTCTGTAATTCATTCAATATGACATAACAACTCACTACGTTATAATTGCACGTGGTCATTAGGTGTGGGGTGAACACGGATTAACTGTCAATAACTTATGTCTGTAATTCATACAATATGACATAACATCTCACTACGTTATAATCTCACCTGGTCATTAGTTGTGGGGTGAACACGAATCAACTTATCTCTGTAATTCATACAATATGACATAACAACTCACTACGTTATATTATCACCTGGTCATTAGTTGTGGGGTGAACACGGATTAACTTATCTCTGTAATTCATACAATATGGCATAACAACTCACTACTTGATAATCTCATAGCTCATTCCCCAACCTTAACCCCTTACCCTCACACACATTCTATTAAGAAGAAATAAACATTCTCAAAGGAAAATGAATGTTTTAAGATTGGAAACTAATCCGCCATTGCAAGGAAGACTCCAGTGGTGATGAAAAAACGATGAGCGAAAAAAGTAAAAAGATTGACAACTTTATTCAGCATGCAGCCACCGAAGGTTGAAAACTAAATACAACATGCAGCAATTGCCATTGAAGGTTGACAAATTTTAAATGCAATATGAAGGTTGACAACTAAATACTTGATATCACGATTACCTAACTTAGCGGAACTCTTTCGCGATGGAGGTAGGAAACGTCTGTTGGACGGGGGCAAATGGGCTATTGATATCACGATTACCTAACTTAGCGGAACTCTTTCGCGATGGAGGTAGGAAACGTCTGTTGGACGGGGGCAAATGGGCTATTGAATTCAATGCAAGATCGATCATTGTAGAATTCATAAGGACAGATAAGCAAAAAATCCTGGTAGAATACCTTGCTAAACAATCGCTGAACCAGCCTAATTAATTTTTGAGAGGAGTTAATCCTAAAATGTTACATTTTTAACGATAGTTTTAACTAAGCGGGCCCTTCTCATTAAAGTTTCATTGAAAAATCGTCACATTTTAAAGCTGGAAAAATATTCTCAGCTTTCCTTATTTAACATTCTACTATTTGGAGTTTAATTCTTGGCAATACATTGTACTTTCGGCATAAAATTGTTCGAATCATTCGATTGTCACTACTGTAAACAATGCCATGTGCCCCAGTAATCTCGCGAGATTTAGAGATTTCTCGACTCTCCCCACAAAAGAGCGGTAGTAAGTTAGATAACTGCGAGGTACTCGCGATATTACGTATTCAACATGTCGCCACTGAAGGTGCTTCTTTCTCTGTCTAACGACACTTTATGAAGTGCAATGTTTCAAATCATTTATTTCGTTTATAATCTGATATTTTTAATTAAAAAAAAAACAATATAAAAAAAATATAAAATTGAATTAATTTTTTTCTGTATGAATAAGGACAGCCTACTTCTTAAAAATTGATATTTTATTTTCTATGTTTCCTTTTCAATAACAAAAACATATTTAAGAAATCAACCCTTACTTTACCCGTGCAGTGCTAAAAATTCTCCTCAATTTCTACCCCATATACTTAATTGTATATATACCTTATTTTTACGCACAGATAGTAACTCTTTTGAATAATTTTTTTGCAACTTACAAATAGTAGCTATTTTGAATACTTTTTTGCACTTACAGATAGTAGCTATTTTAAATACTCTTTTTGCACTTAAAGATGGTAACTATTTTGAATACTCTTTTTGCACTCACAGATAGTTGCTATTTTGAATACTCTTTTTGCACTTGCAGATAGTAGCTATTTTGCACAGATAGTAGTTATTTTGAATACTTTTCTGCACTTACAGATAGTAGCTATTTTAAATACTTTTTTGTGCACTTACAGATAGTAGCTATCTTGAATACTTTTTGCACTTACAGATAGTAGCTATTTTGCACAGATAGTAGTTATTTTGAATACTTTTCTGCACTTACAGATAGTAGCTATTTTGAATACTTTTTTTGCACTTACAGATAGTAGCTATTTTGAATACTTTTTTGCACTTACAGATAGTAGCTATTTTGAATACTTTTTTGCACCTGCAGATAGTAGCTATTTTGCACAGATAGTAGCTATTTTGAATACTTTTTTGACACTTACAGATAGTAGCTATTTTGAAAACTTTTTTGCACTTACAGATAGTAGTTATTTTGGATACTCTTTTTGTACTTACAGATAGTAGCTATTTTGAATACTCTTTTTGCACTTACAGATAGTAGCTATTTTTAATTCTCTTTTTGCACTTACAAATAATAGTTATTTTAAATACCTTTTTGCACTTACAGATAGCAACTCTTTTGAATACTCTTTCTGCACTCACAAATATTAGCTATTTTTATGTATTTATTTCATATTCAGTATTTACTTGCAGGTGATATGTCTTTCTGGGATTCTGGATCGGAACTGATCCTACAGACAGTATCACTAAGATCACAAACGTCCAAATTTCTCCCTCCATTTTGTACAGTGATGGTTTAGATATTTGTACGTCTGGTTTTATCCCTGTCTTAATGATCTGAGATTCCCATATAATGATGAAATGCAGTTTATACGTTTTCTATTTAATATAACTGAGATACACGTACGTAATTATGTATCATTGAGTGTTTGACACATAGAAACTTTCATTTAATGTTCAGAGTAAATATTGCATTAGATAGGAATTGAAGATAGAATAGGAATTGATGATATTGCATTGCATTTATTGAAATGGTATATATGGAAAAATATATGGAGAAAAGGAAAAAAAAACTGGGAGAAATGATCCCCGTCTGCAGGTGATGAAGGTACAATATATATTGCTGTATATAAGTAATTGAAGTTGAAAACTTTATATCAACAGTTATTTACGTTTATTCCCATGTAATTAAAAATAATGAAGTATTTGACACCAATCATGACAGGGACACCATATCACCCTATATACCTCTGATGTTTTGGAGGTCAATGTTTGCTCTGCTTCTATTTAGTAATGTTTAATTGACTTTCAATCTTGAATACTGTTCGTTATCTCAAGGTATTTCATTCAACGTGATATGTGAATATTTAGAAGACATATTGTCAATAGACATTTATTACTTCTATTTATATGGGGACTCGATTAAAATCAATGAGTTTAAAATAAAATTAACCACAGAGTACTCCTCCTAAGCATCTACTCCCATGATCATCCTGATATAAGATAATATCTTATTACCGTTCGCTTCACTGGGTATAACATTAGACGTTTGCAAAACGATTTCTCAATGATAACTGCACAGTAATTTAAAGTTATTTCATTCAAAAATATTGTTTTAAGTGCTTTACAAAAAAAATAAATAAATGAAAAATAAAATCATTTCCAGATTGATAAATTCTGAATAAATATGAGTAAGGTTTTCGTGTTTAACATTCTAGGTAAGATTAAACTGCAAGAAAATGAAGTGAAATGTACCTTTCACACGTAAGATAAACACTTATTCCAATTTTTTTAAGTTAAGCTATATGAGAAGATTTTTTTTTATTTCTAAAAAAAAATCATAGCTATAAACCGTATCAGGAATGGCATACTTTAAAGGTGGTGACAGTGATGTTTTTTTTTATTTTAGAGTGCAAAAATCTGGAACTATATTTTATTTTGCCAAAGAAAACAACGCATGGCAGTCTCTGGTGAGATTGATTGATTGATTGTATATTGTTTAACGTCTCTCTTGAGAATATTTCACTCATATGGAAACGTCACCGTATGCCGGTGAAGGGCTTCAAATTTTGACCTATACTCGGCACTCAGTGCCATTGAGCAGTGAGGGTTCTTTATCGTGCCAGCGCCTACCGTGACACGGGACCTACGTTTTTAAGATCATATCCGAAAGACCCGTGACTTTCACTTCTAGTGCCGAGCGCTTGGCGAAGGAACAGTCACTACCTTTGTTTACGTCTTAGGTATGACGCGGCGCCGCGATCGAGAATCGAACCCGGGCCTCCCGCTCTGGTGAGAGACAGACAGTTTACAATAAGAATAAAAGAAATAATTTTGCAGTTGGTAAATAATCATCATTGATTAGATTTGTGATGAAATTCTGTATTTTTTTAGGATCAGGTCATCGTATGTATCGTGTTTTAATTCTCATTCACGTGTCCAAACATATTGTCAGTAAGCTGTGTTACAGTAGAAAGTTTTGTCGGATTATCATAGGTGTCCCATGCTGTCCTTTTTGAGTCGTCATATAAATTTATATCACGTTCATCCTGTTTTACGGCCGTCTTTATACTACTATCATAGAGATTGTCCGATAACTGGTCCCTGATTGTGACGTCATATAAATTTATATCAAGTTCATCATGTTTTACAGCTGTCTTTGTTCTACTATCATAGAGATTTTACGTTATTGTGTTATCATGAAATAATGACTGGTCCCTGATTGTGACTTCAAATAAATTTATATCACGTTCATCATGTTTAACAGCTGTCTTTATTCTAATATCGTAGAGATTGTCCGTTATCATTTTATCATGTAATAATGACTGGTCCCTAATTGTGACGTCATAAATTTCACTTCTCTGTCCCTTTGCGTGGTCATAGAGATCATTGTTATGAGTTGTTTCTCTTTGTTGTCTCAAAACGTCGTATTCCTCTGGTTCTACGTCTTCATTTCTTTTAATAATCCCAACAAAAACATTCTGTGAAAGATCGACTGAGATATTATCTGATGTTCTGGATCTATCCTTTGACTTGTGAATCAAATGAAGAAAACTACGTCTTTATTTATCAAATGACTTCATAGTAGTAATACTATTAGACAATTTATGAGGAATACAACATGTACCTTTTTTGTGTGACGTCACACTAAACATTTCCCTTATATATTAATTAGGTCCCGACCCCCTTTTCAAGCAGAAAATTTAAAGTCACCACGTTTATCATATAGCTTGGTGGTAAGATTACAATTAACGTCTTTTTCAAGT